TAAAAAATATCAAAGTACGAATCCATAACTTTCTGATTTTTATAAATACATAGTTGTAAAACTTGATTTTGAATAATTTTGTCAATGATTTTTTAAACTATTAAGTGGGTTAGATTAGATTGAGAAAGTCCCATTGTGCATGTTTTATCCCACGTTTGTCAATAAATCGCAGAATCAAGCAATGGGCTAATATAATATTATTATGAAAATCAATCCTATCCTAATGTTTTTTCTGTTGGCCCGGCAGTCAACTCATAACTTGAATATTTGATTGTCGTTAATTGCTGTGAGTCAAATATGGCAATGCAATTTCTATACCTACATAAGTATAGCATAAACATCGATAATCTCTCACTAGTATGAGGATAAGCATAAAAACGTAATAAGTCGAAATCTAAATTAATCTCTCTAACATAGACCTGAATAATATCTATATATATATACTTGTACACCAAAAATGTAGGTCAATTGAGATAGCGAGCGTTAGCATGAGACAGCGATGCCACAAGTTCACACACATGCATGTAAGCAAACACACAAGCACATACAGACACACATATATTCATACTTACACACACACGCAGCGCTACACTTTCACTTATTACATTATTAAATGATGCCAAGCAAGCGTCGGGCTTCAAAAAGCGCACCCAGGCGGCAGAGAAGTAAGCGATGAACAACTGCCGCAGCGTGAGCAAGAGCGTTTGGCATGTTGTTATGCTGTCTCTCGCCGCGCTCCATTTCCGACAACGGTCGACGCCGAAGCATGTGGGCGAAAACTTGTTCGTGCGCTCTCATTTATTTCGCCACTCAGCTGCCACTGCTGCTGCAAATCGTCATCGTCGCCGAAGTCTACGTCGTTGTTGGCGTCGACTTCTCTGTCGATTATTTCATATTGAAAGCAAAAGTGATCAACGTTCAACGTTGAGAGAGCGTCCAAACCATCTAGCGATTTGACGGTCTCTGCTATGGCTTGTATCTGTGTTAGTTTGTATTGCTCACGCTTGCAATAGTTGCCTTTGCAGTGTCGCTCCAGTACATACATAAATGCATTTACATATATATACTTACATACGCCCCCCGCTTCGTTGCTGGCCAATGCATGTAAACCGGCACGTCAATTAAGCTTGAGAAGCAGCGCAGCAGCAGCGTCGCCAAGCTATAAAAAAAATGTTACAAGGTTTCGTTTCAGGTTAAGACGAGTTTTTGGTTTTTTAAAGTTTTTCGGTTTTTTTAGTCGTTTGTTGCTGGTTGTTGTTGTTGTTACTGTTTGTTTTGTGGTCGAAGTTTTGAGCATGTATACATACGTATACTGCTTCTGCATGTATATGTGACTCTGTATGCTGAAACAGTTTGTGTTTTCTAAATTTTGCTACCGCCTGTAATGTTGCAAGTGCTGTCACTGTAGCTGTGTTTTTGAGCACTTGGTTTGTATAGCCTCCACCTATTGAAATGCGTTAAATGGGGTACCATGGTTGTATTCACACATACATATGTATATACATAGGTTAGACGACAAAGCAAAGAAGGATAGTATCAATTGTACCATCTGCTTAAAATCTGTCGAATTCGATTTTAAAATTTACTTTATGACTTTGAATGTCATGTGGTATACCCAGCTTTTGAATAATTATGTTTTGCTGTGAATCTCGCACCAATCGTCTGCCAATGGAGATGGCTAAAACAGTTTATACAGTATTGTTTATGGAGATCTGCACACGAAATCATATAAGTGACCTGCCTCAAGGCATGTGTGTGCTTTTAATGGCACACGGACGGATAGAAAGACGAATATTGGAATCTATAAAGGGAAACAAAAACAAGATCATTAAAATCGTCGAATCGTCAGTTGAACCGTACTCAAACAACTGATAAAAATTATGCATTAACTGAACTTATTGATTAACGAAGATTAGATGTTTGATGTATGTAATTGTTAATGGACCTTCAATTACTTTAATTCTTCTTGATTCGTTATCAATGGCTAGAATTATGGTCACTTTTGGGCTATTGATAAGGTCTTGGGTGTGTAGTTCATCATAGAAAGAATGGAATGAAAACCACAAAACAAACATGAAATTTAGCTTTGCATTACGAACTGCAAGAGCTTTGGATCAAAGTGAACCTCTATAAAAAGTAAAATATTTCTTGGAATTATTGCGAATTAGATCAGATATTCGACTTAACAATGTACAAATTATAGCGATTCGGCAGTCGAGTAATTTTTATTCGTTGCATAGAGAGAAGAATGGAAAAATATATTTACAGGAGGAACGAACAAAACTGTAAAACTGGTTTTAGATTTCTGAAATTTAAATGTGGTTGTATTCATATAACTGTATGCTGTCTGATTAATAGAAAACGCGTTGATTGTCATTACTTGCCTTGACCATATGGGTTCATGAAGCGGAGTTCAGGAAGCGGAAGGCACTGACTGATCCTGATCTGTGCGCTTTCAATCATAGCTTACATCTGTTCAAAGCACACAGGGCTACTATCTATAGGTCAATTTAAGAATTTTTCTGAAGTTTTCAATAGTCTGTCCGTCGATATATATGTATATATATATATAATAATATGACGTTGAAGCCTGGTTTGGATCATTTGCTTTACATTTTCGTCTTGGTCTCTGTCGTCCCTTAGTTCCAATTCATTGGTTAAGGAATTGAGAAAACGAGTGAAAGTTTTGTTTTAATGCTCCTCTCAACATCTGTGCCATCTTATGTAATTTAAATTTTTGTAAGCCCAGTAAAACCAATTTAAATCAAGGAAAAGGAATTCAACGTAAATGCTTCATATAAATTGTACATTATAATTATTAAAGCTATGTATCTGTCTAGTTTAATAAAATCGACACATGACCTTGAATTATTTACATGTACTTTTGATATGGGAGAGAACTTAGTCATTATTATTCTCGTTGACCGTATGCAGTAAAATTGATAGTTGATTTCCTTTTTTATGTCTTTAGGTTTTATTTATATAAACATTGCGATTTTAAAATAATGTAATGTAATGTAATTAACATACCACCCACACACTTCCCTATATCCACCCCCTCACCCTTACCTTTGTAAAAGACGTATTTCAAATACTAGAGATATATAGACATATACCCACTATGATGTTATAATCACGATCTGAACGTTTTATGGGCACAGTCCATCAACAAAAAAAAGTTATTAAGCAATATGCAGCCAATGCGTGTTTCTTGTGTAAGCAGAATTCCAATTCTTGGAAGGGTTCAGGGGATATCGTAGTCGAGCAGTCTCGACTAGAGCTTTCTTACTTGTTATAATATGTAAAGCTAAGCATTGCTATATACGAAAGAATGAGTCGGCGTTGTCCACAGTGGCCCAAAAGCTATGTAAAAAAGTTTCACTTTCGCTTTCAGCACAGTTTGAAGTTTAACGCAGTAGTATTAACAACAACATCAATAGCAACAATAGCAGCAACAGTAACAACAACAAAACAAAACGCAGAAAAAAGCAGCAAAAAGGGGGGCACTAAGTCAAGCCAAGCGAAGCAAAGTAAGAGAGCAAGCATATAGAAATGAGAGCGTGAGCGAGCTTATTGAAAGTGAAACTGGCTCCCACTTGTTCACATACACACAAGACATACACAAGTGGCGCATACGTAATACCACGATGTGGATGATGAGAGCGAGAGTAAAACGCTGCTTGCGCCAACTACGCTTTCGCTGCTGGCGTCAACTGAGCGGCAGCAGTGGCAACAGTGGCAGCAGCAGCTCTCTAGTGTATGGCGAGTATCCTCGCCGTATGCTTGAGTTTAGTCAATCGAGATACGTTGTTGATGTTGGTCGTGTTTTTCGCATAGCAAAATAACCTTCATATAAGCAAAATTACAATTTACATACATACACAAATATATATACATATATATATATATATATATATATATATATATATATATAATATAGTATAGGTTACATATGCCATACAACAACAAGAAATGTGAAACAAATATGTGTGTGTATTTGCGCCCGTGTGTGTATGTCGTCTGAAAGCAAGAAAATTATTGCGCTTCTATGTGACCTAAATGACAGCACAACGTTGAATTCAACCATTTTTAACCTATCAATATATCAACACAAAAATAATAATAAATAAATAAATATCAGAATATATAATAAAACGAAACGCGAAAATATAGCATACTCTCCTTTACCACTTTCTATGACATTTTACTACACCGACAGTGGGAACAGCCCAAGGATTATGTTCTCTCTGCTCTGGTGTGTTGTATACTGTTCGCTAAGAAAGTAAAGTAGCTGTGAGAGTAATGCAAAAATTTTGCTGTTTAAAAAATGCAATGCAACAGTGAAGAAACAAGTACAGAAATGGGTGTTACGGTGTTGCCCAAAGAACTTAGTGTTCACTGAAAAGCGAAAAAAATACTACAAAATACACAAAAAAAGCAAAAGAAAAAAATCAGCAAATTAATATATGATAAAGCCCTACCTCCGAACTAGACAAATATAATTTTATGGATCTGTGTTTAAGTGCAAATATATATATATGTATATATCTATATATATCTGCATACTCGGCTCGTGACAGTACCTCTATGTGTTAAAACACGTTAGTTAAAATTAATTAATAGGAGCTCCCACAAAATACACAAACCGCGAGATCTATTCAAAAATAATAATAAATAATTATCGATTAACCAAATAAAAAAATGAACCAGTTTATTCAAAATTATTAAAATTTCAAAACTTAAGAAAAATTAAAAAAGTAATAAAATTTATATTTAACTAAAAAGCATATAATAATAATAAAAAATATATATATAAAGTAGAAAAATGAATCAAGTGTTAAATGCAAGGCCTAGACCACCGAATGTTAACTGCAACAACAAAAATAATATTATCAATATACAAATAAAGTACAAATAATACAAATTCAAAAGAGATCGTTAATCTAGAGATTGTAGAAAAGCAAAATACTTTTGTTTGTTATAGCCGTCCAACCAACGCAACAAGCGGACAAGTTTGAGCAACAGCTCGGTCCATAACTGAAACTTAATGAAATGTTATTAGAAATGGATCCCCAACAGGCGACAGTACAGTTCATATCATCGCTGAATCTGTCCCCGTTTAGCATGCAACTTGATCAGCAGCCGGCGAGTCCCGTGCAAAGCAACACCAACAACAATAACAGCAGCAGCAGCGGCAACAACAACAACAACAACAATAATAATAATAATAATAATAATAATAATAATAATAATAATAATAGGAACAACGATAACGGTACAAATCCTTTAAGCAATTCCGATAACGATTACAGCGCCTATACGCTGCAGTTGGGCAATCATCATCAGCAGCAACAGCAGCACCTCAATACGCAACAGCAGCAACAACATTACCAACAGCAACCACAACAGAATATTGCCAGCAACAATGCGAATAGTGCAGCGAACCAATTCAATGCCTCCTCTTATTCGTATATATACAATTTCGATTCACAGTATATATTTCCGACAGGCTATCAGGAAACCAATTCATCCCATTCGCAGCAAAGTGGCAACGGCACAGGCGTAGCATCTGGCAACTCTGGCCAGCTGTTGAACGGTGGCAGCAACAGCTCTGCCGGCAACGGATATATGTTGCTTCCACCTGGTGGCACCTCAGCTGTACATATGACCGGCAATGTCGGTAGCACTGGAGCAGCAGGTGGAAGTGGTAGTGTCGCTTCCACAGGTGGTGTTGGCGTTGGCCATCATGGAGGAACTAGCGCCACCTCTGGCGGAGGCGAAGCCATAGACTTCAAGCACTTGTTCGAGGAACTATGCCCTGTCTGCGGCGATAAGGTGAGCGGCTATCACTACGGCCTGCTCACCTGCGAGTCCTGTAAGGGCTTCTTCAAGCGGACGGTGCAAAACAAAAAGGTGTACACATGCGTCGCCGAACGCTCCTGCCACATCGACAAAACGCAGCGCAAGCGCTGTCCATACTGCCGATTCCAAAAGTGCCTCGAAGTGGGCATGAAACTCGAAGGTAAGCGAATACAAAAATTTTATAAAATCTCTTACATTATCCTACATTTAATATTGTACCCATATCTCTGGACTAGTTAGTTAGGTTAGTTACAAATGTTTTACTATCCGAATCTATGGAGCTATATAGACGAATTCGAAACTTTTCGAATTGCAGAATAAAGATGTTTGTACCCCATCCCATCCTGGCGTATATACCCTTTAATGATTATCAAATAAAATTCATAATCGACGAAGGTTGATTAGAAAATGGAATTTATATAAAGTTCAACAAAGCAGGAATTATGAAGTATGTGCATATATACGAGATTTCGAAATGTAAGATCGACAGATATGCCAGATATTCCTCTGAATACCTTGCAAACTTTAATATCCTATGGAATGATGAACATTTTGAAGATGAAAATAAATTGTATTATTTTCGACAATCTTTAGGAAACAGAACTTAAGCAATTAAAATAATATCCGGCACTAGTATTGATATATTATATGGATCAAAGACGTCGAATTCCCGAATTCTTGTGCCCCTTTTGAAGAAGCCTGTAGGACTTTTAGGGATACAGTTGTCATATTCTCTATTATTTCAAAGTAATTGTATTGTTTTTAGTTCCTTAAAAAAAAAAAAATTTTACATTTAAGCAATTAATAAAGTGGCCAAGCATATAGCAGTTGGACAGACGAGAAGTAGAAATGAAACACAATTGGCAACAAATGGTATATAAAACATAACATAATATTGTGTGGAAAGTTTTTTGGAGATTGATAAAATGTCATAAGCATAGAGAGTTATTTTACTGAGTTTTTAAAATTAATTTTTCAATGTTATATCAATCTTTTTTTACATCAATCGATTTATTATCATTCTATTGTACTGAAAAGATTCGATTTCCGATACTTGCTCAATAGTGAATTAGGCTACGCACAGAAAAAAAAAACTATATATATATTATATTTAATTTTTTGAGTCAAAAGTTGGTTTGATTGCCTTCTCTGCTTGAAATCACAGAGTGTCTGAGAGGCAGAGAGGCGCTCACTCGCTCTCACACATACATTTAGCTAATAAGTATATTTGTAAAGTATACATGTGTGTAGTTAGCCATATCGCCATCTCCTTCGTGCGCTTCTGTTTTTGGGTTATAGTGCCATCTCTTGCGCTCATGACCTAGATTCCGAAGCGAGTATGTATGCGTGCACGTGATATATATAAACTCGTATTTGTGTTTGTGCAATCAATGCAACATGTAGACAGCGCTCCGCTGCAGTGCGCTGCTCGGCATTGTATTTGACGCTGGCGTCGCTGCCAACGCTGCGCACGTTTCATGTTTTTGTATACTTTTATATTCATTCACGATGTATTGGCTTTGTGCAATGCTCGTCTTGTCTATTTCGCCGCTATGAAAACCATGGATTTTAAATTCTGAATTCAACACTTGAAGCTTTGAGTAAATACTCGTGTTGGCAAGCCAAGATCAAACGAATATATGAGATACATTTAACACGATTATATATTATATTATTTGCATATATAATTTTTATAAGTATATCCATGGTTCATACTAATTGAATCATGTTGGCTCGTTCAGTCCCCTGAACGCGTCTAGACGTTGGTATATGTTGTAATCAGATGACGCTTTTGTCAACAGGTGTAGTGGTATTGAGCTGCTTCATGCGTATTCAACTCTTCACAGAAATAAATATGTACATACATATGTATGTATACCTTTTATATTTTTGGCTTTTGTTCAATGTACGTGAAGACTGATAAATGAGAGCAAGTAGATGACTAGTTGCAAAGTCAATGAAGTGTAATTACATTAATAGTATAAATTGTTGTAATATGCCTGTGATTTAGAAATAAATATTAATATTCAAATCATTTCTATACATCCTATCGAGTTATTTGCTTATACTCAATATTCGCGTTGCCTGTTACAATCTATTATATTAATCCACTATGGGTCCAGAGCTTGTCTAGAGCCGACTTTGCACAGAAATCGCTGAAAGAATAACATCACATCTACTTGGAACACACAATGCTGTAGTTTTACGATTGTTTATGTCGCCTGTTAGTAATAGTTCTTAATTTGACAATAAGATGAGATTCCTTATTACGAATTACCACGAAATTTCATTTTTATCATTAAAATACCCATAACGGAAACCCGTACAAGCTTGTATATATATTTGTATGTATTAATACTCCAATCGCAAGCACATAAACGAAATTATTTAGATACCTAAATGTATAGCGAAAACAATTCTGTGCTGGTGTAATCTCAATATAAATTCGCTTGGCCTAAGATGGGTCGGCCTTTGTAAACACGCGCCCACAAATAAAAATACAAGCCCACACACACAAACAGTAAATAAATCCAACGAGCAATGGCAGTGATGGTATAAGTGAGAGGCATGCATAGGAATAGGGAGAAGAGAGAGTAAGAGTTTCAATCGACAACGGCAACAACAACGCGCATGTTGCCCCAGTTTCACAAAACTGTCCTTGACCTACTCCATTCAGCAAAATTGTCTATTGCGGTAGCTGCCTGAGTGCCAGTGGCTATGTCTGTGTATTTATATGTATGTGCGTGTGAAAGACTTGGCGAGTAAATGCCGTAATAGAAAGCTTTTCGAGTTGTCATGCCATGGCGGGCCTTAGCAGCCTATGAAAATATAATAAGCGAGAGCGCACAAAATGTACTCTCCCGCACTCGGTGTTTATGGCCATGTGACGTTGTGCTGCGCTCTGCTCTCTCGTCAGTGAGTTTGTTATGCATTCGTTATATATGTATGTAGATGTGGACTTATGTGTATACATACCTACATATATTTGTTACGTATACCCACTCGCGTTGATTATTTGTAAACAATACGCTTGACCTAAATTACAGTTACTTGTTTTGAGGAAAAACAAAAACTACTGCAATTTTTTTGCAGCACTTCATTTGAAATGCATATTTTACTTATTGTATATACATATGCCAGTTCGCGCTTATGCTCATACATTAAAATAAAGATGATTTCAACTTAAATTTTTGTAAGACCATTTCTGTTGATTATAATATTTTCAACCATTTGTACATATAACCACATATTGGCGTATCGATCGATCTGTAAAACGGACGAAGAATAATAATAATAATAATAATAATAATAATAATAATAATAATAATAATAATAATAATA